CTGGGATTACAGGTGTGAGCCACTGTGTCAGGCCCCTACTTTCTTTTCTAAAAATATTCACTCTTTACCCATAGACAGATAACAAGGACGAATTACTTTATACGTCTAAATGGGACCTATTCCTTTGAACTCTAAAGCTTAGAATCAAACATGGATGGGGAAGGAGAATAATCAGCAATATAAAAATTTCCAGGGGAGGGTGCAGACTCTTAGAAGAAGTCCCCCAAAGTGACTCTCATATGGCTCCCGCCTCCAACCAGTCCCAAACTCAATGCCTGGAGGAACTAAACTTGTAAGACTGAGCTCCTAAAAACAGGTGTCATTACTCCCTCTGAGAACAAAAGATTCTGTATAGAGAGTTTTCTTTTCTTGACAGTTCAGCAAAACTGACTTGAAAAAATATCTGCAACAGAAAGGTTATTACCAACGTATTCATTATCTAAGTTTGAAAATGTGTGTGTCAAGTTCTTGAAGCATCAGAGACGCTATGCAGGAAGGGTCAGCATGGCTGCAGTACTTCAAAGTCAACTCCGGTGCCAGGGCCACTGGCTAGGGGAGCTCCCAGGGCTCGAGCGGTGCTTGCACACAGTCCTCACCTGGCTTTACCAATCTGAACTTAACACCAGGAAGAAAATCATCTTGAGGGAGCAGAGGACACAGGAGCCTGGACCCGTCAGCACCTCCTACTGACTACAGGCTCAACAGCAGCCCCATGTAGCTTATGGAAGCCACCACCACTGGCAACCCAGCCTGCACACCAGAGAACAGTTCCTGCGCACCAGAGAGCAGTCCCACAGATCTCCACATGGAACCTGACAGGCACTCCTTGAGCGTGCCATCCCCAGAGGAAGGTGGCCAGGACATGGTCAAGCTGGAATCCAATAAGCTAAAGGGCTGCTAGCGTACAAAAGAGAGTCCAACTGCTCTATCATAGTTGCCTCAACAACGACGCTGGCTGGTAAAGCCGTTAGCTCTCTCTCCTGGCAGATCTCTAACAGAGCTGCTAGAGACAAGGACACTTCATCCAACTTGCTTCCTGCCTCTGCATAGGAACCTAAGGTTCTACCCTAAAAATCAAAAATATCCCCAGGCCTGGTCTGGCCCGTTTATACACTGAGGTGAATGGAGTGACTATTTGGTGAAAGCTGGGCTCTGAACCCAGGAAATGAAACAATCTATCTGCCTGCCCTGAGGGAAGCAATATCACATATGCCTCTCGCGGTTGCTTCCAAGAAGGGCTCTAAGCGCAGGGCATTAAAGCCCAGCTGCTGGTGGGGTGTGATATGAGAATGAAAATGTTTTTCTCCCCACAACTCCTTAACCATCAATAAGTGAGTAAAATCTATTTTGAACAGAGCATTTTTAAGAAGTCAATTCAAGACTTTTTAAGGCACAGATAAGTACCCACAGAACCCTCAATTCTAAAGGAATTACACTGGAACATCCTTGGCTGCCTAATTACAAAGCACATTTTCCTTCCAATGGACCCCTTCATGAAGTGGCTTTCAGAGAGCAGACTCAACATGACCAAGTCTATAATCATATCTAAAGTATTCAAATCTGGGTGCACTCATGAAACCCACCTTTCATTTCAGGGTTCCATGAAAAGTGACTTTTCCGTTGGCTGAATCACACCATTACAGGTGATGCATATTAACCAAACTCTCAGACAGCTAAGGTCACTACAATTGGGATGGCTAAACAATAGAGCAAATTATGCTCACAAGACCCGAGAGATTTGCAACCTGTTTCAAGCACTTTCTTTAAAAACTGCAGACATTTCACACTAAAGGAGGCAGAAGCCAAAAACCTAGACTAGACGCTGAGAATTTGATTTGATTCAAATGGATTTGATTCAATTTGGAAAACAAAGTGTGCTACAACCACCATACACTGACCTGTTGTTTGCTTTTGTTTTCTGTAGCTGCTCGTCTAGCTCCTTTATTGCCTTTTCTTTCCACTCTGCTTCTTGCTTCCGAGAATTGGCATCTTTGAAGGGAGAGAAGAAAAAGACAATACAACTGAGGCTTACTGAATTTATGATGGGTGCAGGTCCATATTTGTGTGCATACTGGGGGAGAGGAGTAGGGAAGGAAGATAAACTTCTATTTTTCCTATTTGCACAACCAACTCTGATTTTAGTGCGTCTATTCCTTCCTGATCTTTTCCACAGTCCTATTCCTGGATCCTATTCCTGGTCTTATCCCAGTCCACTGATATCTTAGTGGATCATTAGTTATGTTTTGTCTTGTTTTTGGCAGAGTGAAAAAGAAGGGTGTATGTAGAAATACTGACTTTCAAATATTAATAGGAAAAAAGCCTCTGGGCACGAACAGGGAAAAAAAAACATAACTGATTCTTTACCAGTGCTGCCAATATTAGTTCAGAGTAGGGTATTCATCTTAGATAATCTTTTAACTCTTCTCACAAACTAGTCCATATTCCAAGTTTGACAATGGTTTTCTGGAACACAAGATGGCACTCTCGTAACTAAATATAGTTGAAGTACTTTTGTGAAGCAGGGAGCTATTAGGACAATTACCAAAAGCAGAGATGATTGAGGAACCAGAAAATGATAAAACACAGAATATTAGCACTGGAGAGGACCACAAAGCATTTACTCCTACTTAGTCTGCAGAGTGCGTTTGTGGCAGAGGCAGGGTAGAGCTACAAAAGAAACTCCACTGGAGAGAAGTGCAGAGGGTAGAGGTATGGGATCATTGTTAACAGCCAAAAGGTTCTAGAAATAACAGCAAGAAAATGCACACCTAGCAGGTTTGCCTAGATTGGATTCTCAAACATAAAACATGAAGTTTCTGAGGACTAAATATAGTTTTCCCTAAGACACTGAGCTGAAGAGGCACACATCAGCAGATAGCTGGGCACGGTGGCTGACGCCTATAATCCCAGCACTTTGGGAAGCCAAGGTGGGTGGATCACCTGAGGTTGGGAGTTCGAGACCAGCCTGACCAACATGGAGAAGCCCCGTCTCTACTAAAAATACAAAAAATTAGCGAGGCGTGGTGGCACATGCCTGAAATCTCAGCTACTCAAGAGGCTGGGACAGGAGAATCACTTGAACCTGGGAGGCAGAGGTTATGGTGAGGCCAGATCACACCACTGCACTCCAGCCTGGGCAACAAGAGCAAAATTCTGTCTCAAAGAGACATACATCAGTACATAGTGGGAGTTCAAGAAACACATGCTGCCTGGTCATGGTAGCTCATGTCTATAATCCCAGCACTTTGGGAGGCTGAGGCAGGTGGATAATCTGAGGTCACGAGTTCAAGACCAGCCTGGCCAACATGGTGAAATCCTGTCTCTACTAAAAATACAAAACATTCACTAGATGTGGTGGCACATGCCTGTAATCCTAGCTACTCAGCAGGCTGACACACACAGAATTGCTTGAATCTGGGAGGCAGAGGTTGCAGTGAGCTGAGATCATGCCACTACACTTCGGCCTAGGCAACAAAGTAAGACTCAAAGAAAAGAAAAGAAATACATGTCATAACTACTGAGGCAGCTGACACTTAGAATTAACCTGATACTTTAAACAAGTTCTTCTGGACATCCTGTCTGTCTGGCAGGTGTTTTATAGATATCTCATTCAATCTTTACAACAAGCCCAAGAAGGTAAACTCTGATCCCATTTTCAGCAGTGAAAAAAACTAAAGCTCAGGAAGTTTGCGTGAAACTTCCTAAAGGTTATTGTAAGTGACAGATCCAAGATTCAAATCCAGATCTGGCTCTAAAGCTTGCACTTTGTTTACCTCATTATGCTTCCTCCAAAGGGAGGGACAGAAAGGGAGGCAAGCCTAGAAATAATCATAAGATGTGACTGGAAAGTGGCCACCAGTGATCTGAACAGAGTTTCAAAAGAACAGCACAAGAGCCGAAACTATAATTAGTGTCTCTGAGGACAGTAGAAAGCAGTAGTGGCATCAAGTAACTACTAGAAGGGATGAAAAACGAAGACAATTTTTAGGGCCTTTGCAAGAAAGGTCTTAGAGTAACAACCAGCGAAAGACTGTGTGTAACTCTAAGGAAAAGCCTAATAGCAGCTAGAAGCTCCCCCAAGTCTGAGGTTAGAAAGAATGTTCATCTTGGTATCTAATTTGTCAGAAGGTGATCTATCGTTCAGAAGAAGAATCATTTTCTCAGATTTTTTACTGATGACTCTAAAGTATATACAGTATAATATATTTTTGTTTTGTTTGAGACAGGGTCTCACTCTGTAGCCCAGGCTGTAGTGTGGTGGTGCTATCGCAGCTCACTGCAGCCTCAATCGCCCAGGCTCAAGTGATCCTCCCACCTCAAATCTCCTAAGTAGCTGGGACCACAGGCATGCACCACCACCCCCAGCTATTTTTTTTTTTTTTTTTTGGAATTAACCATACATGTACATCCTCATCCTGAGGAATAATGTTTATTTCTGTGTTTTTAAATATTTTCTTATTTTTTATTATTTTTTTTTGTAGAAATGGGGTCTCACTATGGTGCCCCAGCTGGTCCTCAACTCCTGAGCTCAAGTGATCCTCCTACCTCAGTCTCCTAAAGTACTGGGATTACAGACATGAGCTACCATGCCCAGCCTCTACAATAAACCTCTAACTTAATGTGTCTATCCATGGCATGAAGTATGTATGTGGAATGGAAGATGCTATGCTGCAATGAGAAGCTGTGGGCTAGAAGTGCCAGGTGGCAATACCTAATTTAAATTGTAAGGCCCCCTTTTCAATCGTGGTGAAATTACTTACAAATAATTACCTTTTGATTGGACAGTATTTTTTTTCAATGTATTTTAATGATCATTTAACATTTATTATACATTAGGACTAAAATATAAAAATTTATCTCTAAAAAATTAATTTAAATAAAAATGGTGACCTACTGAACAGACTGTGGTTACTGCATAAATCAGTACATTTAAATTAATCTTCTGGCTTTTGCAGCTTTAGTGCCACTGCAGTACTAATTTAGAATTCTTCCCCTCATAGGATGAAGAGGAAGAGTCCCGTTAGAGAACACCTTCTGGCCATCCTCATTACTGGTCACAGAAAAGAAAATGACTTGAGAATGTAGCCAGCAGCTAGGCTGAAAACCACTGGCACTGGTTCTCTTATTTTTAGCATCATGTGCTTTCTCACAGTTTTTGCAAGGAAAAAAGGTGAAACTGAAGGAACACCTTGTTCATGAATCAAGTGACTTCAATTCCATTGGAATGCAGGGCCAAATGTTTTACTTCTCTCAAAAAAGCACTTTGAATTAAGAAAACGGCTCATAAGTTTATTCCCCAAGTACCCAATTTCATAATTGAAAAATTAAATCTTTCCAGACACCAAAGTATACTCTCTCCATGGAGAAGAAAAACCGCTAAAGCTTGGGAAAACAGAAAAGATAAAGTTGGGTTCTATAACATGAAAAATACTCCAGTGATACTAAGACCAAGCAAGGACCAAAGCTGTTAGGACAAATTTTCCTACAGCTTCACTGTCCAATCATCCTACAGCTCCACTGTCCAATCTTCCTACAGCTCCACTNTGCCTCTAAGCCTACTCAAGAAACACAAAGAACAAGCAAGGACCAAAGCTGTTAGGACAAATTTTCCTACAGCTTCACTGTCCAATCATCCTACAGCTCCACTGTCCAATCTTCCTACAGCTCCACTGTTCAATATTAATATGGTAGCTACTAGCTACATGTGGCTACTTCAATGTAAATTTATTAAAATTAAAGAAAATTTAAAATTCAGTTCCTAAGTCACACTTGAAATGTGAAGCCACATTTCAAGTACTTAACAGTTACATGTGGTTAGTGGCTACCATACTAGACAGCACAAATACAGAATATTTCCACCTCAAAAATTACTGCTGAATGGTGCTATAAAGGTTCAAATATTTTTTTTTTTTTTTTTTTTTTTTGAGACAGTCTCTCTCCGTTGCCAGGCGCCAGGCTGGAGTGCAGTGGTGCGATCGTGGTTCACTGCAACCTCTACCTCCCGGGTTCAAGCAATTCTCCTGCCTCAGCCTCCCAAGTAGCTGGGACTACAGGCGCGCGCCACCAGGCCCAGCTAATTTTTGTGTTTTTAGTAGAGACGGGGTTTCACCATGTTGGCCAGGATGGTCTTGATCTCTTGACCTTGTGATCTGCCTGCCTCAGCCTCCCAAACTGCTGGGATTACAGGCATGAGCCACAGCACCCGGCCGTAAAGGTTCAAATATTAAGTGTACTCTTTGTTCTGAAAGCCACCTAAATTGGACTAGAGAGATAAAAGGACTAGAGAGAGAAACGATTTGGCACTAATTGGCTCTGTCATCTGAGTCATGTCCCTTCCTATTTCTGGGTGTCAGTTATCCCATCTGAAAAATAAGGATTCATGTTTTCACTAGTTCAACAGTTCTCAAGAGGGATAATACTGCTGACACTGTGCTTACAAAGGAGGATGTCATTACTTCTAGGAGGTGTACATTGAAACATCTAGACATGAAGTATATGGTGTCTTTATCTTACAGTAGGTCAGCCAAAACAATTTGTGTATGTGTGTGTATGTATAGAACATATAATTTATGTAAAGATAACCCAATATGGTGAAATACTAATTACTGAATCTGGGGATGTATACATTTATTTTCCTCTTCTGTAAAGTTGAGAAAAGATGAATCTTAAAATCAGCTGATTAAAAAAAAGAAAAAGAAAAAACAGGCCGGGCATGGTCGCTCACGCCTGTAATCCAAGCACTTTGGAGGCCAAGGCAGGCAGATCACCTGAGGTCGGGAGTTCAAGACCAGCCCAATCAACATGGTGAAACCCCACCTTGAAAAAAAAAGAAAAAAGAAAAAAGAAAAGACCACAGTGTGGATTATATCCTCATACTCTGCATATTTCTCCAATGCATCATGTATAGACACAAGTCTCCCCTGATCACAAACCAACAGGTGACACTCCATGTACACAACTCTTTATCAAAGGCCGGGCTGTGTGACTAGATGGCCGTACACATTAAATGTTTACAAAGCAATGTGGCTTATGGGGATGGGGAGTGACTCTGAAGCATGGCAGATGCCAGCTGAAATTGTGACTCATACCATTTCTTAGCTGAGTATTCCAAATATTTATTCTACCTCTGCTCCACTTTCTTCACCTGTAAAATTGTAAAACTTACTTTACAGAGATATTAAGGTAGGAAAAACAAATTGTACATTTTTCCTAATATATCTCATTTTCCTGTTACCTTAAATTCATTCAGCTTTCAAATGAAAAATGGACCATAGTCCATGGATGTGTGAAACCTGAATCCTTCGAGTTTACAAAGCACTCTATAAACACCACCTGAGGTTACTCTTGAGGTCAACAACACTCATTTTACTTCAAAGACAATGACACAAGCAAGACTCTGAAAAGTTTGAGAATAGCCGGGCGCGGTGGCTCAAGCCTGTAATCCCAGCACTTTGGGAGGCCGAGGCGGGTGGATCACGAGGTCAAGAGATCGAGACCATCCTGGTCAACATGGTGAAACCCTGTCTCTACTAAAAATACAAAAAATCAGCTGGGCATGGTGGCGCGTGCCTGTAATCCCAGCTACTCAGGAGGCTGAGGCAGGAGAATTGCCTGAACCCAGGAGGCGGAGGTTGCGGTGAGCCGAGATCGCGCCGTTGCACTCCAGCCTGGGTAACATGAGTGAAACTCCGCCTCAAAAAAAAAAAAAAAAAAGTTTGAGAATCAAGAGCCCACAGCTAGTAAGTTCAGGCTGGAATCTAGTCTTTCACTCCAAGCCCAGGGCTCTTGTCACAGCATCTCTATGCTCTTCCTGTGAGAGGATCTTGGGGCTCTCCAGGCTACCTTATTCCTCACGGAATGGGCTGTGATTGGGCATCTCTGTGCAGGTAGCCTTGTAACCTTCAGGCTGAGAAAGTTATCTTCCCAAAGACCAGACAAGGACACTGGCTAATTTGAGCTAAAAAGGGATAAAAGTAGAGTGTAGGTCAACTACTCCACTGAAAATAGACACCCAAAGGCAGAAAGGGATTCCTTACCAAGAGCTTCCAAGCGTTCCGTTTGCTCTTCTCTCCATTTACGGATACTTTCAGGCTCTGACTGCAGTCGATCCACTTGTGAAATAGCTGCATAACTGTCTGTTGGACCATTACTTTCCTTAACACAAAACACAATTGTGCTCTATTAGTACCAAGAATTCCTTCCTGAAATGTACTTCATCCAAGTTAGAACCCTTGGTTCTAACAACAACGGTGGCTATTGTAAAATGTTAAAGAACTACCTTAAAAGCAACAACATAGGCCGAGCACAATGACTCGTTCCTGCAATTCCAGCACTTTGGGAGGCCTGGGTGGGTGGATCATGTGAGGTCAGCCTGGTCAACATAGTGAAACCCATCTCTACTAAAAATACAAAAATTAACTGGGCAGTAGTGGCATGTACCTGTAATCCTAGCTACCCAGGAAGGTGAGGCAGGAGAATTGCTTGAACCCGGGAGGCAGAGGTTGCAGTGAGCCAAGGCTGTACCACTGTACTCCAGAGGTGACAGAATGAGACTCCGTCCCCCCAACCAAAAAAACAAACAAACAAACAAACAAAAACAACATAGGCCAGGCATGGTGGCTCGTGCCTGTAATCCCAGCACTTTGGGAGGCTGAGGAAGCGGGATCCCTTGAATCCAGGAGTTCAAGACCCGCCTGACCAACATGGCGTAACCCCATCTCTACTAAAAATACAAAAAATTAGCCAGGTGTGGTGGCCAGCACCTGTAATTCCAGCTACTTGGGAGGCTGAGGCAGAAGAATCTCTTGAACCCAGGAGGTGGAGGTTGCAGTGGGATGAGATCGCACCACTGCACTACACCCCGGGCGACAGAATGAGACTCCGTTTCAAAAAAAAAAAACAAAAAAAACCCTCAAATGTTAATCTTTAGAGAATTATTCCATATGCCACTCACTAAACTAAGGAATATTAGCAGGTTAACCTAACGAGACTATAAACAAAGATGGAAGGAGAATTATTTAAAGTGTTAGTATTCACTTACTGCACTTAACACAGTGTCATTTGAAGGGTGATTTCTTTTTTTTTTTTTTTGAGACAGAGTCTCGCTCTGTCGCCAGGCACCAGGCTCACTGCAACCTCTGCCTTGCGGGTTCAAGCAATTCTCCTGCCTCAGCCTCCCGAGTAACTGGGACTACAGGTGCGTGCTACCACGCCTAGCTAATTTTTGTATTTTAGTGGAGATGGGGTTTCACTATGTTGGCCAGGATGGTCTTGATCTCTTGACCTTGTGATTCATCTGCCTTGGCCTCTCAAAGTGCTGGGATTACAGGCGTAAGCCACTGCACCCGGCGAAGGGTGATTTCTTGAGAAATAAGGTGATAACATGAGGGCCAGGTAAATAACATTTTAAAACAGTTCTCTTTTTAACAGTGCTACCTCTCTTTAAACCCTTTCACTTTGGCAGATAACATACCAGCCACTAACACATCCAGGAAAGTCAAAGAACTGGGGTTTCTTTCCAGGTCAGTCAATTAAAATACGGGAAAGGAAGACTCAATCACTATCAATGAACATAATCAGAGTACTCCGTACCTGGTAGTATTCGCCATTCATTACCCCATCAACAGCATCTGCAAGACATAAGATTTTGGTCTGTCAATCAAGACTGGTCAAACACTGGACCAAAGGGTTGTACAGTAGAATAGAGTATTATAAGCTGTATGAACCCTGAAGTAGTAAATGCCATCCCTGGGGTAGGTTCTATATACAACAAAACAATAAAACCAAGATGCGCTTATATACAAATTTCACCAAAATGTGGACACATCTGTCCTCAAGCTCCCAAGTCCAAAAGCTTTTAAGATTCAGTTTTCTAGTTTACAGTGGTAACAAATGGAAGACTGCCAGAAGAGTCTCAAGAGAACAACAGTATTTCTCTATGAAAATTCTGCAGAAGGGGGGGAAAAAAAGTATGGCCTGGAGTCACCCCATAGTGAGCAGAAACATGCAGCTTCATTTTTGAGACAGTGTTGCTCTGTCACCCAGGCTGAAGCACAGTGGCCCGATCAAGGCTTACTGTAGCCTCAATCTTCTAGGCTCACGCGATCCTCCCGCCGCAGTCCCCCAGGAGCTGGGACTACAGGCATGTGCCACCATGCCTGGCTCATTTTTCTATTTTTCTTAGAGAGCGGGTTTTGCCATGCTGCCCAGGCTGCTCTCAAATCCCTGGACTCAAGTGATTCACCTGCCTGGGCCTCCCAAAGTGCTGGGATTACAGGCATGAGCCACTGCGCCTGGCCATAACCCAGGAACTCTACACCAAGGAACTTATTACAGAGGTGAAACAGAATGTGCTCCCCCCACACTTTTTATTCGTTTGGTAAACTTCATATTTCCAAAACTCTACAGAATGCTTAAAAAATTATATAGGTAGGTGGCACAT